TCCTGCTTCCAGCACCTCCTTCCATTCCTGCTTCCAGCTCCTGCTTCCATTCCTGCTTCCAGCACCTCCTTCCATTCCTGCTTCCAGCTCCTGCTGCAGTGTGAGCAGATGTGAGTGGATCTGGGCAAAGGAGTCTGGAGCTGAGCTTAGAGCCCCTGCACTGACTGAGCTGAGCTTAGAGCCTGTGTCCTGACTGAGCTGGCTTACAGCTCATAGCCTGGTTGAGCTGAGCTTACAGCTCATACCCTGGCTGAGCTTAGTTTACACCTTGCAACAACGTCCCTGCCTGTGTCATGTGGTGGAGCACTAAACTGAGCTGAGACAAATTCTAATTTATGTCCTGTGCTCCTGTGATACACCAAGCGTGAGATCCCAATCACACCACAAATAATTGATCTTAAGCTTTTGCTCTTCGTGTCCCAGCCTTTCTTCTGCTCCATTTTGCCCAGTTGTTTTTCTTGCATTATTAATTATAAGCCAGTCCCATCCCATAACTCCCCAAATATCCTGTGTGTCCCTTCTCCTCTCTCCAGACCCCTCTCCTTGGTGCCCTGTTGCTAAACCACTGCACCACCTGGAGCTGGAGAGGTTAAATTCCCCCGGGATGCCCACGGCAGAGCCTCCTTAAAGCCCGGGCTAATCTGGCATTACACACCCTTGGGAAGAGCAGGCTGGGAAAGCCCGGTGCTTTCCAGGGGCCAGCCTCAGCTATTCTCTCACCTCCAAAGGTCTCCTTCCTCCTCCAAGTGGGAATTTGCTGCTCACGTGCTGCTCGGACTCACTGCAGCCTGGTTTTCTGGCATGACTTTACCCCTGCCTACCAAACCTATGCCCTAACACCACAACTAGACCATAGCACCAAGTGCCAAGTCCAGTCTTTTTTTAAACATATCCAGAGATATGTTTATATAACATATATAACATATAACATATATAACATATCCCTAAGAAGACAATTTTAGTATTATATTATTCTTTCAGTAATTTTTTTTTTTCCTAATATCCAACCTAAACCTTCCCTGACATAGCTGAGGCTGGGTCCTCTTGTTCTGCCAGTGCTGCAGGTGGAAGAGCCCGACCCCACCTGCCTGCAAACTCCCTTCAGGGAGAATCTTTTCCAACCTGAA